TTCAAACAAAGTGTGCCTGTGAGAGACAGAGAAGTGGAGAAAGCAGACCTAGAGAGAGAGAGAGAGAGAGAGAGAGAGAGAGAGAGAGAGAGAGAGAGAGCCTTTTGAGATTCCACTCACGCATCTCTGAGTGTCTCTCGGTCTCTGAAGTATTGAATGAAAATGACTCCCCACCTTCACACACAGGCAGTATGCAGGCATTAGGTGTAGACATTAATGAGAAACACAATCAGTAAACATATAAGGATGAAAGAGTTTGCAAGTTACCTCATTAAGTATTACTGAGCCCTTCAGTCTGATGGCATTAAGAAAGTCTGATTAGGTTGTAAAGTAGCAAAGTGTGTGTAATTGCACTACATTTCAATGGCTGCAGTTTGTTCAACTGTTTTTGAATTTTCTGGAGGAAAACACAATTTTTCATCACTTTATATAAAATGATTTCCATCTACAATCTACTGTATGTGTTTTCTTTGTTTTGTACATAATGACTCGACTCTCATTTCAGCACTTATTCCAAAGTCCTATAATGCAAAGGATGCTTGATAAGATAACAGCAATGTGGTATTAGTAAAGTGCGTCATTTCGGATGGAGAAAGTGTACACATTGCACACAATGGGTGTAGCACTGTTACGGCTCTTTGTTTCTGTCCTCACACATGTGAACCTGTGCTTGGACAACTCGATCTAAACCTCATGCAAAGTTCTTTTGATATTGACTTATGAAACATTTATCGCAAATTTCTTCTTTCTTTGTATGTTTTTTGTTGGTGTGTGTATATATCTCAAGCAACAACCTCAGGTTCTGAAAAGGGAAGCCAATGTGGCTGTGCAGTTATGTCAAGGTATTGTATTGTGTCTATAGTTTATCTTTGTGATTCTTTACCACCTGAGGAAAAGGTTTTTAACTTGGACATTAGAATATATTTTGGTACATACTTTTTTTTTTTAGGCACTGATCTCCTTTTGCTACATTTTTTTTTTGTTTTTCGACATTTCGTCTTCCAGGGCAGTGCACATCCAGTGATGTTGCAGTCCACTGTGCTGAATGTCTTGTTGTGTATGTCTGGTACACTGCAGCGTTCTCCTGGAGGGGGGTGGTTTAAATAATTTATGCAACAAATGAGTTTGCTAGGAGATGCAGGTGTTCATCTGAGGGCACGGGGGGGGGGGTTGTTCCACAGCCTCAGGTTTCATTACAAACACCTTTTGCTTACAACACCTGTGACTATGAATGTAGGGATCATAGTACACAACCCGCCGCGAAGAACAGATCATTGTGGACATTGTGTTGTTTTCAGATTCTTAAGACTGAAATATTTCTGAGATCTCTGTAAACAAAAAAATGACCGGCAGAAGAGACAGTGACTAAGACTTAGACACAGGGAGAGGGAGCCACACACTGAAACAGACAAGCAGAAGAGAGTTGAGCTGGTATAAAGACATAAATACATTTTAAGTGGTTTAGATTGGACGGTCATTAACATGTTTTAAAATAAAATAACATATTTTCATCAAAGGTAATACAGTACCACAACAAGAAGTTATCTTACCAGTTACAAAAGTGTTAATCTGTGAGATCACCTGTGTCTTATACTGGGTCTTACAATCTCTTCTAAAACTGAATCAACTCCATTAGGTCAAGTGCAATGAATATTATCAGTGGGACTCTGTATAAGCTCAGTCAAAAATGTAGAAAGACTCACAAAACCTTGTTGACAGTTCTACTTACACCACGACGTGTACTATGATATGATGCGTTAATGTGTAAAGCCACCAGCTCAATATCTCATTGTCCCTCTCACTCGGCCTTGTCAGGAAAGTGTAAACACTGATGTGTGAGAAGTGTAAATGATGGACTCATTAACAGTGTGCCACAGTGTGCCACAGTGTGTGCGCATTTGATGTGTACGAAGGTTAAGTGCTTGGATATGTTGAGCTTGGCTGTGAATCAGTATTTATGCAGAACTGGCTAACAGGAAGGCAGTGAGTCTAATTCAGAGTAATCGACAGTAGTGTAATAATGACAGCTGACGGTAAATATTAACCTGCTGGTCACTATGCTGTTAACTCCAGCTAATTGCACCGCTCTGATGTCACAATACATCAGGTGAAGCCCTGCAATCTTACGCAATTATCAAGCGCCTATGTGTTTGAGTAGGGGACGTACAGTAAAGGTCTCAGCACATCAGCTTGTTTAATCGAACTGTTATCGACTGTAACACTAAGTCATTACCAAAAGAATAAACATTAAATGTTGCTTAATGTTTCCCTGAATTAATGCTTCATGTAATCCCTGAAATTAGATGTGTACTCACCATACAAACTGTGTAACTGCAATAATATATAATATGCCTCATACATTTTAATGGACTATCTGCACTGCAATTTTTTGTAACTGATCAACCAACATATACAGTATGCAGATATCGATATATCGGCAAAAAACTAATGTTTCCAAAGCTAAACAGGCCACAGTTCAAATCTAAACTTCTAATTCAAATTACATTTGGTTTGTCGGCACCCTACAAGGTTTGTAGCCCGTTTTATTAGTATTACGTACAGTATTAGTAGGCGACATTTATATGCAAATAGTTGCTATTAATGTTATTGACAAATTCTTATGGAAGCAGTGCAGACTTAAAGGAATAGCTTGACATTTTGGGAAATATGCTTATTCTCTTTATTGCTAAGAGTTAGATGAGAACATTGAAGCAGCTCACATAGCTCTGACTCGAGACTCTGAGAAGTCAATGCGCCCGGCCAAGAAATAATCCGGCAAATAAACTCTCTGTTACCACATAAAGTGTCATTCTTATACCTCACTGTCATTTGAGTCAATCTGATTTGTCATAATCAAGAGAGACTGTTGGTATCGGAGGGGTTAGTGTTGTTTTTTTTCCTTTCCGTAGATGGAGGGTGGTGCTGGTTTTGGGGCAGATATATCCTGCTGTGTTTTTTTTTTTTTTCTTTTTTTCTTGTTGCTGTATTTGGAAAAATGCTGCTTTGTCAGCAATTCAGGTAGATTTTTTTTTCCCTCCCCCAGTTCTCCTTTTCCCGCACAAACAAACATTAAGTGCACTCACACAATGACTGCCACAGACACGCATGCACGCACGCACGCACACACACATGCACGCTCATAATCTCTGCTTTGTCCTCTTTTCTCCTCTCTCACTCCCTCTCTCTCTCTGTGCATGAAGGCTAACTCAGCAGACCTCCAGGCTGCTAGGGAGTAAAGGCATTCTGGGTAATCTAGGGTGCAAGAAGGGGGGGGTGGACTCTCACGACTAACACTTGATTCCGTGCAGGATGTTGTACACTCACACAAACAAACAAACCCCGTCTCCCACCGCTGAACCATAGAGATACAATATTCATCTGTGTCCATCTGTACAATAATCTGCTGAGACAAATGCAAGCTCTGCTCGCAGCAGAATATGGAATCAAAAAGCTGCCCGGCATCTTGTTCCCTGTTGCCGAACATTAACAATTGGGAGATATGAAGGAGGATGAGGGAACAGCGAGGGTGGTGGAGTGGAGCAGCGGAGGATACAGGAGTGTCATCAGTCCGCTTTTATCTCAGCTCTGATTAAGCCTTGTTCCTGTCTGACCTACAAAGTCAGCTGGCGGAAACTTCAGAGACTGTGGGTGAATTTCACTGGAGCTCTTTATACCAGAGAGAGAGAGAGAGAGAGAGAGAGAGAGTCTGTCTGTCTGTCTGTCTGTCTGTTCCACACTGCATGCTGTCTGGTCTGTAGACTTGATGAGGAAGAGGCCGGTGCTGGGTGGTAACTCTTAGTAGTACAATGCCACAGGAAGCAAATGGAGGCTGTGCTGAAATGTGCCAGCGCCACCCGTCTGGGACAAGCACAACAAAAAACACAAGGTATAAAAATAAACCTGAGCTGGCATGGCAGGGTATCTGCAGAAACAGGAAGTATCCCACTGAAGGAGAGACTGCAAGTGAGACCTGGGGAAAAGCCTTTGATTGTTTTTTTTGTTTTTTTGTTTCATTTTTATGATACTTGTATTGTTTCATTGGTGGCATGTTTAGGAGAGGTGCTGTATTAACTTCATCAACTTATTAACTTAACTTATCATCAACTAACTGAGCAACAGTAGTTGAGATTGTATGCACTTTAAGTATCACAAGTAAAAATACAGCTTAAAATTCCGAAAGTTCAACTGTGTCTAGTATATATACTGTATACTTCGATACTTGACTAAATGCACTTAGTTACTTCCCAACACTGCTAAGCAAAGAGGTGCTGAGTTTGAGTTGTGAGTTTTACTCTGTTTCTTTGTGTGTGTTTTCATCTTTCAGAGTGCTGCAGCAGCTCCCAGCCCCGTGCTTGGGAACCTTCCCCCGGGAGAGGGCATGCCAGTGGGGCCAGTCCCTCCAGGATTCTTTCAGGTATATGATGCTCTCACACACACACACACACACACACACACACACACACACCTACAGAAAGTGTGAGAGAGGAAAGAATTATATGTGTCTTTAGGCCACTGAGGTTACAGTATTGAATAATACTATTAAATAATTTTTCTGTATGCGAGTATTTAAATCATGAAGTTGTTCCTCAAAGAACTCACTTACTCATTCTTAACTGTAAGTGTTAATGAACAGACAGTACCTTTGTGTATGATTTGCATTAATCCGTGTGTGGGGGCACCACTGTTTGACAGCAGGAATAAACGTTTCGCAAATAAAAAGTACACCGCAGCTTCACCCCAGATCATCTCTGATGTCCATCAGAAGGATTTTGCCAGTTGTACATTGATTAACCGTCGTTATCAGTCAAACTAAGGCGCTCGCATCTGACACACAGATCAATATCCTTCATGGGCATTTCTCATCTCCACTTTCAAAATACTCCAAACATCCTTTTCCATCTCCTTCTGAAGATCAATTGCGCTTTGAAGACAAGGTCTTGTCAAGACCTATTGGTTAGAGAATCGCAACAACTACCACCTTGCCAGTTCTTAATTTAGGTTCCTTAACATTATACAAAGATGAATTTTGTGATTAACTGATTTTTGTTGGCAAAGTAATTGCAGATCACAAAGGATTCACAGCCATGCCTGCAAAGATGTTCCCACATATCTAGCTTTCATCGTCATTTATTTATTAATTCATTCAGTTTATTCATTTAGTAACCTTCTGTGTTCAATTATTTGCATTTATATGTTAATGCGTGTATGAAAACGAGATTGTAAACTCTTATAAAACTTCAAAAGACTTAAAATAATGGAGCTGTTTTTCTGTGATAGACCTTCAGCACAGCTGGAAAATGAGAATCGGAGTAATCAAAGAAAAGAGCCTGATCAAAACAGGTGGACTATTGCTCTCTGGTGGCAGGTTCTTGTATTACTTCTGTAACCCTGCAGACTCAGTTTTCTGACCGCAGTGGCATCAATTCAACAGACATAGCAACAGCATTGCTACTGTCTGTGTGAGGACAAGTAAAGAAAAACACTCACAGCTGCAGAAGTGCTTCTCGCACATGCTGCCAAACTGCACACAGTTGAGAAATACACTGACATCATTATTAACCAACCTCGTCTTTTCTTCTCTCGTTATTTTTCCATAAATCCAATCTAATGAAAATGCGGTCGGCCTCCTAAGTCTGCTGTCATAGACTAACTGTTGTGAAGGCAAATCAGCCCAAAACTCAACCGAGGATATATGCAGTAGCTGTGGTTGGTTTCCTTTTTTGGAGAGTGAAAAACGTCCCATAGTGGTGCACCATACAGTTTGTACACCGCTTTTGTTTCTATGAAAGGGGTTACAAAAAGGAATATAATTTGTCATTTGACTTGGCACCCCAGGACAGTATATTTTGTATAACAGTATATTTCTTTTAATTTAATAAAATGTTGTAGATGCTGTATACATTTTCTTTAAAGTCTCCTGTCTTAAGTATGTAGTGTTTTGTCACTGTCTTGCTTGCCATGGGCAATCGATCACTACTGCCTTATGATACAGCAGCCCTGAGTGTTTGCCTTGCATGTCAGAGATTGTGTGCACAGTATTTATAACCCAGAGTGATTAAACTTGGATTTATGCTGATTATTCTTCAGCCGTTTATGTCACCTCGATACCCTGGAGGACCCAGACCACCTCTCAGATTACCCAACCAGGTAAGAGCCACACTGACACCTGCAGGCAGCAGACAGTACTGTGAATAGTAGAAATGGACAGCGTCTGTGAGACGGTGAGGATAATACTGGTGATGTGTCCTCCTCCCCCTGTAGGGACTTGGAGTCCCAGGTAGCCAGCCTATGTTACCCAGTGGTATGGACCCCACAAGACATCAAGGTACGCAGAGACACACTGGTATGCACAAACGCATACAAAAGATATTGTCGCACATGTGCGCAGTTAGCACCTGGTTTGTGAAAACTATTAAAAACTATTAACAGGAGAAAGAGTTTACAGTCGTGATTCACTAAAGCTGCACTTGACATAAATGCTAGTTTTGGCTAACATGCTCACAATGCCAACTTTAGTTAATAAGCACTAAACTACTAAAGTACAGCTTAGGATAATGTGAGAGTCTGTTTTTAAGGTTACCATGATGGGTGCACAAGAGGAAAATTAGGTCACCAAGTCTTTAGGATTCATCCTCTGGGGACCATGGATATCTGTAGGCTACTAAATTACATGTAACAGTATTACTCAAGACATTTAAACTTAACCAAAACTCTCAGCCTCATTGATGCCCTAGGGCCTAGAGAAAGAGTTGGGGGCCACCAAAGTAAGTAGGATTCATCCTTGGGGACCAGGAAACCAAAATGTTATGGCAATCAATCAAATAATTGTTGAGATATTTCACATGTGGACCAAAGCCGTGGACTTGAGCCATTGCCATTGATGGAGCCAACAGCTTGCCACCTTGTTGCACTGGCTGACATATGTATTCATTATGATAGTAATTATTTATTATTAGTGGCTGTAGTTAATTTTTTAAATAACTGCATTTTTTTATCTCTGGAGAGCAACAGTGGAGATTGAGCAGTATGCTCTTGGAGAATATTCAAACACACAACTTCTGCTTAGATAAAAAGAGTCACAATGCTCTTACTGTTAAACTCAACATTATAATGAGAAGATACAGTAATTGAAGCTGAAACTGTAAATGTTATATGATGGTTTGCTCCAGACACACATCAAATTGATGTCCATCTTGAGGTTTTTGCATCACTACAGTGTCCAGACAAAAGTATAAAATACAAAAGTACACCAAGGGAACATGCTTGTTGTAAGAGAGTTCAGAAGACAATGACAAGAGTTGTTCACAGTATGTCAGGTAATGTAATTAAATAACCGTTCCATATCTTTAAGTAAGATGATGGGGGGAGACATGACCAAAACTGATCCCAGTCTGACCTGAATTTCTGGAAAGAAATGATGGCTGGTTGTAGTTTGACTGTTTTTTTTTGTTTCAGGACATCCAAATATGGGGGGACCAATGCAGCGGATGATTCCACCCAGAGGCATGGTACCGCTAGGGCCCCAGGTATGGGACCAGAGGATTTGTGGGAATATTTACAAAGCATTGGTTCTGATACAGTATTTACTCTCTTGTAGACGTAGCTGAGGACATTTGGTGTCTTCTTTTTTAGGGTTATGGAGGTGGGATGAGACCACCACTAAATGCCCTGGTTGGTCCCGGGATGCCTGGTATGAACATGTGAGTGATAATACAATCTACACACCCACACACACAGTGTAAATGACTCAGGGGGACAACATTAAATGCAAACAACCTTAATTTCTCACTACAATAGAGGCAGTCAGCTGTTTCCTTTCTGTGGCTTTAATTACAACTTCACTATATGTTCTTGGGTCTGGAAGTGGAGCGAGGAGCCAGCTTTCCACTATTTTGTCTTTTTTTTATCCTTTCCTTTATTACTTGTTGTTCCCCTTACCTCTCTCTGGCAACAGAAGAGCTTGTTGTTGCCAACTCTGCCCAAATAAATTAGAAACAAAGAAGCCTCCCAAAAGCAGAAAACTAAAGTGTATAACTGTGTGTGTGTTCCAGGGGACCTGGTGGGGGTAGACCCTGGCCAAATCCTCCAAACTCCAATTCGGTAAGTGCTCTAACGAAGACACCCAACAGAAACTTAAATGAATTAGAAATTACTTTCATGATTTCCTTCTGTATTTTTGCAGACCCCGTACTCTTCTGCATCTCCAGGAAGTTATGTGGTATGTATCGTTGGGTTCAAGCTGTTTCTGCTCACCTATCTGTTGAAATTCATAAGTTCATGAATGAATCTTATGGAAACCAAAACTGTGATTTCAGGGACCTCCAGGAGGAGGAGGGCCACCTGGGACCCCAATAATGCCAAGTCCAGCAGGTACGTGCTATGTCTTCCCTGTGTGTCTGGCTGTTTGTGTCTATACATGTGTTTTTGCTCTTTTGTCCTCTAATTGTTTCTCTGTTTATTATGTCAGATTCAACCAACTCTGGCGACAACATGTACACAATGATAAACACAATCCCTCCAGGTGGAAGCCGACCAAATGTGAGACATTTCTCTCTCTGTGTATATCATTGTGTCTGAGTGTACTTAAGTGCACATGGTTGTACAATTTATGTATGGATGTAATAGTTCTTTGATATCAAAACATTGTTTTAGTTATGTTACAGCAGTGCCGGGCTGTGTATTTTATACCTGGGCCTTCAGTGCTGTCCTACTGCATTTGAACCACCTCCTAATAACCTCATTATGACGCCTGCATGACGGGATGCTTCGTCATTAACAGGCAATGCATATAGTCAAAATCAATGTAATTAACACAATGACAAGAACAAACTCACAAGAACCAGTCAGAAGCAGATAGAGTAACATAAAACCCAAATAACACGATTTAACCAGCAAAACTGCGGCGCTAACACACGCATTCTGCCACACACTCGAGGGCACCATTCAAATATTATTCACATCAGAGGGAACAATATTAACCATATCAAAACGACAAAAGCACATCACTTACCAAAGCTGCTGTTCACTTAAAGACAAAGTCCATCCTCCTTTCTTTGATTACAAAGAGTTCAATGACACGGTTGTTCAGTACATCCGTGCGGTTCAGTTCCAGTAAGAAGTCCTTCTCCATTCATGGACGCCAGTGATGACAGTCGAGCCTCCCCAGTTGTACTTCTTGAATACGTTTTGTTGCATTTGAGGGCTGAAAATGTCCGCTCGACAGAGGCAGTCTATTTTGGGATCGTCACCGCCAAACATGCCAAAATGCTAAAAATGTAATGCCACGTAAAGACTTCTTACATATCTCTAAACTTTAACTCTAACTACTTACTACTCCTCTGCTAGTTTCACAACAGTGTGACGTACTTGTAGGCCAGCTAGCAGGCTCTGGCACGTCAAAGAATACGCCCAACATGTCAAACTAAAGATCTGATTGGTTGAAGACTATGAACAATATCGCCGTCATTTACTTAAACTGAAAAGGGATTCACTTGTAATTCTGAAGGCGGATTTTTTTACTTGGAGACAACATAGGGGCAAAATCTGATTGGATAAAATCTCTCCTTAAAACAAGCTGCACTGGAAGCAGAGCAACTGAGGAAGACAGTAGCTGTGCAATGAGAAAATAAGCTATTAGGAAAAATATTTAGAATACATGTAGTGTATTTATGAAAAGCTATTAAATTATAAAATAGCTATAACATTGTGATTCAGTCTAGGCCAGCAGAGAAGGCCTTGCTGGCCCTGACGGCCCACTACTGTGCTACAGGTACTGTATATCATTGTCTGCTGTGTATGTTCTCCTCAGTTCCCTATGGGTTCAGGTGGTGACGGTCCATTAGGGGGAATGGCTGGAATGGAGCCCCATCACATGAATGGATCATTAGGTACAGGAAGAAGTAGCTTGTACAGTATGTGCTACATTGACACTGAATCTCTGGTTATAGTTTTCCCAAATTTGTCAAGTAATTTTCAGAAAAACAAGCATTCTTTTGATAAAGGTTACTTGTTTTCATACTTGTGTTACCTCTCTCAGGGTCAGGTGATATGGACAGTCTCCCCAAGGTAAAAGTATTTATCTACCTTAAAATGTATGCAATTGCACTGCATGTCTGATTTTTGTAGCTTTAATAGCACACAATTACTAATAAGCTTTGTTTTACGTACGTTTTTAAAAGAACTCTCCTGGTAACCTAAGTATGAGTAACCAGCCCGGGACCCCCAGGGAGGATGGAGAGATGGGAGGAAACTTCCTTAACCCTTTTCAGAATGAAAGTGTAAGTCGATTGTCATCTATCATATGTGAAGATTAGACCGATCTCAAAACTCAATACCATGACTTTTAAGTTAACCCTAAAGTAAAGTTAAAAATGGGTTCACAAAATGTTAATGCTTTTAAATGAGCAGTTTTATATTTAAGCCAATGCACTTATTATACGCTTGGCATAAAGATTGGAAGCTAAGCTAATCGGCTGCTACCTGTTGCTTCATTTACCGTACAGACAGGTGAGTGGTATGAATCTCCCAGTCTAACTCTGTAAAAGAAATAAATAGAGCATTATTCATATAATGTTGAGCTGTTCTTTTTCTTTTTCTAATTAGATTTCTAATCAAGGATACTGTAAAACTGTGAAAAATGCTCGTACACACAAACTCAAACGTTGTTATTTCTCCCCATCTTACCTTTGCAGTATTCTCCGAACATGACGATGAGCGTGTGAAGGCTCTGGAAGCAGGTTTGGTTCAGTCGCCCCGTAACCTGGATCAGTAAAGAGCAGAGAGACAGACGGGATGTGATGTCATCTAGGCCAGTGACTCTTCCTCCACCACCAACACCACCTGCCTAGTTAGGACATTTGCCCTAGGCCCTGTCCTCTTACTATCCCCCCAACCCCACCCCTCCATTGTTTCTGCCCACGTCTCTTCTCTCCTATCTCTTCTCCCGTTCAAAGTGTTGACTCTGCTACATTCATCAGTTCTTCCTCTGCAACTATGAGACTGTACAAAGCAACCAAATTGAAACAACCTGGAGGAGAACTCTTTGTATATTTGCAAACAGTGTGTATGGGACTGTGCACCCGCTCCAGTCACAGACAGTGTGTCTGCCTTTTGCATAT